CCATGCCTTACGCCGCCCTTGGTCATAGAAATGATGTAATTTGAATATAAATTATTTATAAATACGTATGTCAAGTTATATTTTTATTACTACGTAAAATATATTTAAGAGTTTACGGCCACTGTGCCTGGTGAGACGTTGTTGAAACAAAAAATGTTATGCACTCCATCACGTACATAAACAGTATCGTAATTCGCCAAGTGCAAATCAGCAAATTCGTAAAATTTTTGTTTATTTTGAACAATCCGGATAATCGAAAATCCGGATAATGGAGGTCCGGATAATGGAGGTTCTACTGTATAAATTTACTATTACATTATTGTATGATTACATGTAAAAAATAAAATAATAGCAGTACATGGTTATCATTGTATGATTTTTCACACAGTTGACACTTCAATGATATAATGGTTAACAGAAAGTGACAAATAATTGAGTAATAAATAAAAGTTTTACTATGTTTCTTTAAATTTGGCATTTCATTGGGTAATTGGCAAATTTAGACAAATGAAAAAGAGTTATATATGATTGTCATATATTTTGAACACTAAAATTATAACATTTTATATTAAAGATCATTGTTCATATGTCTTTTCTACACTTTTGCCACTAATTTAAACTTTTTTAATGGTTATAAGATAATAGTTAAATGTATTGATTATAATGGAAGCTATTTCTAAAGCAATCAAACAATTTTTGAAATAATAAATGTAAGCAGAATAAGCATAAGCATATATAAAAAAATAATTAAAAATAATAATAAATTATAGTAGTTATATATATATAGTTTCATAAATAAGTCTTCATTTTTTAAAAAAGTTGTTGCAAAATTATTGAATGTGTGGAACCATTTTATCATAAAAACAAGAAATAAATATTTTAAATATCCTAAAACAGATTCCAAATAATAATAAAATTTTAAATCAAATATCTAAAATTTCAAAATTTGACAATAAGAAGTCAGTTTTTGATAGAATATTTGAATGTAAAATTTATATAACTATATATTATTTATGATACATAAAAGTCTTTTATTTTATCATAAAATATAACAAAATTTATTCTTATAAGTTTTGTATTCATTGCTATTTCTTATAAAATACTGCAATATCTTTTATAGTTTTTCTGGTAGAATGTTTTGTTCTTAATTATTAGAAATTACTCTTATTTTCTGTGCAAGACATAATAATACTAATAATTACTAATGTAATTATTAGAAACATAATAATAATAAACTAACTTGCAGTTTATTATTATTTATAATAAATAACAATATCAATAATTTAAGTTTTATTTTTTATTGATAAATTTTAGTGTTTAATTGTCAAATATTTATAGGGACCTCCAGGTTTTCCTGGACCACCTGGTGCACCAGGTCAAATTGGATATCCAGGTCCTGAAGGTCTTTCTGGTGATAAAGGAGAAAAGGGTGATCCTGGACCTATTGGTTCTAGAGGGCTAAAAGGAGATAGAGTAAGTTATATTAATTAAAATTCATTTATATTAAAAATGTTTTACTGATAATTTAAATATAATAAAATTAGATTTGAAAGTGTTACTATAAATGTGTTTATTTACAATATTTTTTGATATTTTATTATTATTGTTAGTTATAATAAATAAATGTAAATTATTTTTAAATGTAAATTTTATTTTGTAAATGTAAATTATAATGTATATTTAAAATAAATGTAATCTTGAAGTGTATAGATGAAAATAATTGTCATCATCAAGAATACTTTTCTTGTAGAATTATTATTATTATTATTTATTAAATGAAAAGCAAAGAAGCAAACCAAAAATTTGTTAATACAGTATATTCATTGTACATTTTTTACAATTCAGTGAATAAATCAATTTATTTTTATTATTTTCTCAACAGGGAAAAATGGGAATGCCTGGTTACCCAGGAATTCCTGGACATCCAGTATGTATTTATTTTTTTAAATAAAATTAATTTATAATTATACAGTTTTTATATTTAAACAATTTCTTAAATATTACTTTTAGTTATGTCAATTACAAACTGTAGCTTTAAATATTTAATTTTAGCAAAATTACAAAAAACAATAAAATAATTTGTTATTAATAATTCTAAAATATCCTCTTTTAACAGGGTCAACAAGGTCCACCTGGAGAAAAAGGTCTACCTGGATTAGATGGCTGTAATGGAACAGATGTAATATAATTATTTATATATCATTTTGTAATAATCTTTATAATGCAAAACATTATAATCTTTGATTAAGATAAAATTTAGTAACTTATTTTATAATCAAATCAAATATAATTTATTTACTAAATTTAATGTATTTTTTTTAATAATTTATAATTTAATTTTAGGGAATTCCAGGATTTCCTGGTCCTCAAGGACATCCTGGCCCTAGAGGACCACCTGGTTCACCTGGAATAAAAGGCGAAAAAGGAGAACCAGCATTTGGGCCTCCTGGTTTAAAAGGACAAAAGGTAATTAAACACAAGTGATTATATCTTTCTTTTCTCTATAATCTTTACAAGTAAGTTTGAGAATTTCAATACAGCACTTCTAACATCTAAAGGTTTTCAGTGATGACGACTCATCATCATTGAAAACCTTTGAATGTTATTGAAATTCTCAAACTTACTTGTAAGGATTACAGAGAAAAGAAAAATAGAATTACAGCATTCTTTATCTACATAACATTATAATTTATTAAGATAAATATTTTAATTTCTTTTCTTTTTTTCTTTATTATTAATGTATTTATGTTCATTATAAAATATTTTATTACAGGGTGAACAAGGAAGGCATGGCCAACCAGGTCCACCTGTAAGTAATATTAAAAATTTTTTCAAATAAAAAGTTATGAATAATAATATTAAAGAAATGTTAAATTTTATTTTAATTTTATTATTATTTTTTAACATTTTATCCTATAAATATATTTCTATTAAATGGAGGTTGATGTTTTAGGGAATTCCAGGTGCAGATGGAAGACCTGGTCCGAAAGGTGACAAAGGATATCCTGGACCTCAAGTAATTAGAAATTTCTTATTTTATAATTCTCTAAATATTGTTACATAATTAAGTTTTTACATTAATGTTTCGAGTTTAATTTTGTTTTTATTGTAGCTGCTGATGATCACAGGTATGTATTTCTAAAAAATGATAATGAAAATATTTTTAAAATTTGTAATATGGGAAGTATGTAATAAGCTTATTTAATAAAATAAATTACAGTGTTTGCTTTTAAACTTGCAATACAAGTTAACTGAATTATAGATTCAGATTAATATTTGACACAATAATTACTGTATGACACAGTAATTACTACATGATGCAGAAATACAGAACCCATGATTTCTAGCTTTTGCATCTATAGTTTTCTATATTTGGTTTGCAGTAGCACAATTTTTTCCATCTATCCAGTCTTCAAAGTTCTGGCTTTCAGAGAGAATTTGTTAAGTTAATATAATTGTTTTATTGAAAAATATTTGAACTTTCCATCTTTGGAAGATTTCTGCCTTTTTCAGGTTCTGGGTTTTGCTATATTTTTAAAGTCAAAACTTTGCAAAATTGTACATAGTTTGGTTAATTAACTTATATTAACAAAGTAAAAAAGTTTAACACATACATAATTATATATATATGGTATTTTAGATTGGCAGAAAGTCTTATTGTTAAGATCCTTCAATCACCAACACATTTAATATCCAAGGCAGGGATGTCAATCCCTGGCCCATGGGCTGCACTGCAACCCACTTAATATTTTTATGTGGCCCTTGGCTTACTGCGTCCTACATATTTTTTAGATACATTTTCATTTATTTTTGGTAAAGTATGTCCTAAAATTATTATCATTTCACTGGATACACTTTGATGTTATAATGATGTAATTTGTTTTAAGAAACTGTTTTATCTAGAAAACAGTTATTCATATGAGGTAGTATATACCTTTTTTCCTGTATGTATAGTCTACTAAGAAAATTTTTTATAAAAATTTTTGTAAAACTAAATTTGTCCTGGAAATTTTTTAAAATAAAGTAATACATACTATTGTGAACAATTTTTTTCGTGCACGAAAAACATCTAAAGTGCTGAAAGAAATAAATTGAGTGATATCCATTTAACTAACATTCTTAGAATTGAGACTAGTACCATAAAAGCCAATATTGACAATGTTATAAAAGGAATGCAATGTCAAAATCACATTGAATTTACTTTTATTTTGAGGGAGTATAATATTTTTACTGACAATAGTATATATAATTACAAAAATGCTGTACAGATATTTGTTATTAAAATTTCATATTCACGTTTTGAACTTTTTAAAAGTATATATTTATATAAAGTATTGTTGTGGCCTGAATATGCATAAATTTCTAATTTGGCCCATTAGGAAAAAAGGTTGGACAACCCTGAACCAAGGAAAAAATGGAAAAATGTATGCAAATTAGAATTTGCATGACTGTAATTATTACTTAATAAACTCATTATTTCCAAACCTCTAACCTAATACAAACAATCAAATTATTTCTAACAATTTTTTAAAAAATAAAATAAATATCCGTTAAACTTTTTTCAATTAAAAAAAGAGTTAATTAATTGATTTATGAAATTTATTATGTTAAGTTAAACAGTCGTGTGACATTCACCCTCACATTATATGTCAGGTGTGGTGATCACATATATATTACACTGCTAGTGAATCACAAAGTCATTGAGCATTAATATTTTTTGTCATTTGTACAGTTTTTAATTTTAGAAACTACACATATATTTCTAAATGTATTGTTTGATTGCAGATATAAATATTTTTATATGCTTTATAATAAACATCATTAAATTTATCATAATTTTCTGCCTGTAATCTGCAGGTGCAATTTTCTGTTCTCAAAAAAGTTTATCATATGATTTTCCCAAGTTCATATTGTTTATTTGCTTTCCTGGCATATCAACAAAGAAATGATGCAAGTTGTAAGAACATTTAATTATTAAAAATAAATATTCTCAAATTTAGAGAAGAAATGAAACAATTCATTTTAAAGTAATACAATGTAAGTTTAAAATCCAGAATTATAAAATTGTCAGTCTCAGATTTATGGCCTCTTGACTTAAAACAACTAAACTAGCATATTAAGAAAATTATTTTTGAATGAGCAATTATTTATTGTGACATTGTCACAATTCCAGGCTGCAATTTTTAATTTATTTAATTTAAAATATATGCTCTCCACCTCAAATTAGTACTGTAGTGTCTTAACCTGTACATCATGTTTTTCCTTAGCAATGGAGTCATGCTGGTCTTCTGTCTAACTCCTTTCAGGAGAAAATTTTTGAATTGAAATAATGTGAATTCCAGTTTGCATTGGAAGTTCATATATAGTTAATCGGAGCCTCCTGCCCTTAAGCTTTCCATATCTGGTCTTGAATTTCATTTATCTATGACCGTTCTCGAAATTAAGGAAGACAGACAGACAGATGGACAACAGTGGGAATTTATAGGTCTATAATTTTTTCAAATTGCAGCACAATTAAAATTTGTTGTATTCACTAATGGCATAATACATTTAACAATTAAACATTAAATGTAATATTGTAGTGGAAAAAAATATACAATATGTGACACTAACTTGTAAGTTTATTCATGGTTAACTACAACTTGGATATGTGAAAATTAAAAATGAAACTAACTTACTGTGAAGTTACTTGGTTCAGTACTATCATTCTAATTTCAATTTTATAAAGTTAAAGTGAATTGATAATAAATTAAATAATTAAAAATAAAAATAAAATTGATTCCACACAAAAATTGTAATAATACCTTGATACACCACTCACAAAATCAACACCAGCATATGAAAAGGAAACGAAAAATTTACTAATGTTTTCATCTACATGAAATAGACATCCTCAGGTACAAATGATATCAAACAAACGGCTAGTAAAAATAGAATATTTTTTAAAAGTTTGATATGATTTTTGATTTTTTTGAACTAATTTTCTTCTTGTGTTTTTTGTGAATCTTTGTGTTAATAAAAATAAAATAATATAATGAATTCATACCTCTACAAGAACTTTCTGGATTCATCAGTGGAGCAAACTTTCTCTTTACAGATATTGAAGTACAAGTACTCCTCACTTTACAACCTATCTGCTTAACAACCACTTGCACTTATGACCAATCAAGTTTCGACTTGCAATTTGGGGAATCCCCTTTCTCAGTTTGAGTGTTGATCAGTGGCAAATGGTGACATGTGCGCTGAGTGTACTATAGCCTTGCTATGATCTTTTTCTGTCAGTTTCATTCTGACAACCAGTCACTGTGTAACCTTATTTTTTTACATATTTGTAACCCCAAAATAGTACAGATGTTGAAGAAAAGAAAAAGTATGGCATCATCTGGAGAAATTGTTAAGAAACGAAGAAAAGCTATTGAGCTTGAAATTAAAATAAAAATCATACAAGACTACAACGCTGGTAAAATGGTTAAAGAAATGGTCAACAATTTTAACAATTTTAAAGGATAAAGTTAGAGTGAAAGAGTGAAAGTTAGAATGAAATCATCGATAGGATTTAAAGCCGTCAAAACTAGACAGTGAAAAGATCTTATTCATGAGATGGAGAAATTATTGGCAATCTGGTTTGACAACCAGATGCAAAAATAATATGCCGATAAGCCTTTTAATAATTCAAGCTAAGGCATGCAGTATCTTTGAGACTTTGAAGGCATGTGAAGGCAAAAAATTGACAGAATCATTTACATCAAGCCATGAATGGTTTCAACTGTTTAGGCAGAGATTCAACCTGCATAATTGGAGAATCAGTGGTGAGGTGGTAAGTGCAGATGTAAAAGCAACACAAAAATTTGTTGATGAATTGGATGGAATAATTAAAAAGGCAGCTACTGCCTGGAACAGATATTCAATGGGGATGAAACTGGGCTTTGGTGGAAAAAAACTACCTGAAAGGTCCTATATGCACAAAGAAGCTAACGCAATGCCTGGTTTCAAGGCTTTTAAACACAGGATCACATTGTTGTTGGGAGGGAATGCTTCTGAGTTCAAGTTAAATCCTTTCTTGTTTTATCGCTCTGAAAACCCATGTGCATTAAAGAATGTTAGTAAAAACAGTCTGCCCGTTTACTATCGTGCAAATAAAAAGGCATGGATGATGTGACCTTTATTTGAAGATTGGTTTATGAACTGGTTTATACCCTCAATCCAGCATTATTGTTTGAAAATAGGAATTCCTTTTAAAATTATTCTCCTGCTTGATAATGCTCCAGGCCACACCCAGTACCTTGATGATTTACACCCAGACGTAAAGGTAGTGTCTATCTTCCTAAAAGCACAACTGCTGTCCTACAACCAATGGATCAGAGTGCTATAGCTACGTTCAAAGCATTTTATTTGCACACGACTTTTTCCAGCAGCAACAGAAAATGATGTTGGAACCCTTTGTGATATTTGGAAATCATACAGTATTTTAGATTACATTAAAAACATTAAATCAGCTTGGGACAAAATGACAGATATATGTATGCAAGGCATATGAAAAAAAAAATGCATAAAAAGTTTCTCGAACAATATCAGATCGTTTGACAATCTTGAACAAACTGATGTAATTCAAACAATTGTGGGCCTTGCCAATGAACTTAATCTAGATGTTGAAGTGAAAGACATTGCTGAATTAGTGGATTATGCCAATGGAGAGTTAACAAATGAGGATTTAATAGAGCTAGAAGTGATGCAGCATTTGGAAGAGAAAGAAAAGGAAAGAACTGAAGAAGTGAAAAAGAAATTCACAGTATATGGGTTAGCTTGTGTATTCTCCAAAATTAATGTAACGATGTTGGAACTTGAGGCTATGGATCCAAATACTGAGCGTTTTAATAAAGGTGAACATGGAATGAGTGAACTTTTGAAGTGCTATAGAGAAATTTATCAAGAAAAAAAAATTACAAAGCAAACGACACTTACAAGTTTCTTTTCAACTGTTACATCCAGGATCTCCACTTTTGAAGATACATACAACTTCTATTTCATTGTTATCATCTCCCTTATCTGGACCCTCTAAAGCTCCAGATAACCAAATAAACAAATGGTAATATGTATGTACATATGCATGTTTTTTTTATGAATAAATTTGAAGTTTGTCACATAATTTTTATATTTTTAAATTTTCGTCCAAATGGCAATTATTAAGTTTCTGAAAACAAAGTCTGTCCAAAAAAGAACTACCATTTATTTATCTCATGTTCTGTAAAATGTGTAGTCCAGAACATGAGATAAATAAATGGTGGTTCCTTTTTGGACAGATCTTGTCTTCCAAAACATAATTTTTATAATTTTACAACAATCCTATATTCCTGATGCAAGCTCCTCACTTATCAACCAATTCACTTAATGACATAGTCGTTGGAACAGAACTTGGTCGTAAAGTGAGAGTATTTTTATTGTTATTCTTGGCCAAAGTATCAGAGTCAGATTTTGTTAAAACACATTCACCAAGGAGCCTTAATTAGATCTCTATTTGCAGGTCTAAAATGTTAGTCACAATTTTTCACATTAAATGTTACTGGAAATTAATTAAGGCTTCTTGGTGGATGTATTTTAACACTTCAAGTATTTCCAGTCTCTCATATCGTTTTTTTGAACTGTATATTCAAACATTATTAATCATTATTGATTTTCTAAGATAAAACGTCTTAAACTAAGCTTAAAACTTTTTAAACAAAGATTGACTTAAGGATGTCTACTGGAGGGTTAATTAATCAATATGTAAATGATGCTGTTTCATTCACAAGTGAAAATGAATGAGTTCATAGGCATTTCTGTCTTCTGTGTCACAAAATATATAAACAACAACAAGACACTTTATCATGTTTTATCTTGTCAAGAAGACCTTATTGTAACAAAAAGTAATGATTTTATAGCCTTTTTTTTGATATAGGGAAAATATTTTCCTACATCAATGCATATTATATGCCTATAATCCACACCACAGATTATATATCAAAAAACTTTCTGACTTTTGATAGTCAGAAGGTTTTGATGTATAATCTGTAGATTATAGGTAGGAAATTATGGTATCTTATTATTAGCACTTTGTAGCTTCAGTTAAATACTGGATATAATTCAACTTAAATTTGCTCCTCTTCTTCCTGTCTTTAGTCTTTCTTTTCTAGTTATAATTTCCTCAAAATATAATCCTGCAATGTATTCAGAAAACATTCAATGAAAAGATGGAATCTTTTCTTTGGATGTCTTCTTTTCATTTTTTATGCAAATTTCCAACTTAAGAGGATTTCTGTCTGTGTTATCGTTCTTCTAACTATATGTCTTGCCTAGTTCCATTGTAATCATTTTGTGTGTAATCACATCAGTTACTTTAATCCATAGTTTTATTCATGCATTACTTTTGTTGAAGTATAATGACATCTTTCAAGCTTTTCTGGATCAGTATGGAAGATTAAGGCTCTAAAATCTCAAAATAATCATAAATATTCATTACTATACGGCAATTTTAAACGTACATATATTTTTTGTAAATGAGGATTTACTGTGTAAAATTTTATGATTAAAAAATAGATGAATTACAATATTATTGCAATCAATGAATTACAGTTTTATTTTTAAGGGAGACCCTATATAAATTTAATTCTAAAAATTGAGAAAGAAATTATTAAATTTATACTATAAATTTTTAGGGACCAAAAGGAGATTATGGACCTAGAGGTGAAAAAGGAAATATGGGAGTAGGATATCAAGGTGAAAAAGGTGATCGAGTAAGTATATGATTTTTCAAAAGTAATTGAAATTTAAAATATCCATAATTTTAGCAATTATTAATTAAATTTTGTAAACAAATACTGTATATTAGTTTAAAAAAGGAGTAAGATTTATTGAACAAATTATATACAATGTGTTTACTGTTTTTCTTGAATAAGCAAATGACTGCTTTTTGATAGTATAAATCAGCATTCTAAATAAATATGCTGAAACAACTGATATATTTTGTATGATAGATTCTTTGAATTGCTGAAGTAAAAAAAAAAACTTCTTTAAAATTTCCCAAAAACACATCCTCAGCAGTAACGTAAATCGCATACAACACCTTATTTTGCCAAGGAAAATATTTAATAATTAATAATCACAAACGTTTTGCTTGGCAAAATAAGATGGTGTATGTGATTTGCTTCTTTAAAATATATTTGAGACAAGAAATTTGCAGAATTAAAAGATCAAGTGATCTTGTTTGAATTGATGTTTCCTGTATAGCATGGACATTGCCTTTTTTCCACTACTGTACTTTTGGTTTTAGAATGATTTTGGTGATCTTTTGAGCTACAACAAGCCAAGTAAACAATCTCCACAGAAAGTTATCTTCTATGCTGAAGAACATGGGAACAGAGATGCTAAACAAAAATTCAATGTTTTAGAGAGCAATGTCTAGTTGTGGTGACAACATAATCAGGCTATTTTTGCATGCAAGGTATCTTAAAAAAAATTCAATGGACTTAAAAGAAAAAACATTCTGATGTTAACAAATAAGTCTAGAGTTCATGAAAGGGAAGAAAAAGAATGCCCATGATGCATGAGGAAGAAATGCAATGAAGTTGCGTGTGCTTAAAACATTTTTCAAAAATATGTTTATTGCTGTTTACATACATTAACTTCATCCTGGTGTTTATTTTTAACATCATCCTGGTGTTTATTTTTATCATCATCTTGGTGTTCATATAAACAGTTTAATAACTTTCTAGTTGTGGCACCTATGTAAAAGGTCTTTCTTTCTATTTCCATTTACTATAAGGGGATTATATAAATTCTTGACTTCTCCAAAAGCTTCAGAAGCTGGTATGATATATGGAGATAAATTGAACTTGTGATGTACATTGTAAGCTAAATGAGTGGTGTTTCTAAGTAAGGCTAGATCTAAAAATGCAGCTTTTCTGTCTTGCTCTTTTTCAATAGTGAATGAGATGGAGGGGTAATCTGATAAGAATTTAACAAAACTTGACAATTCTTCAAAGGAACCTTCCCAAGCTATTAAGATATCATCAACATATCTAAGATATAAAATGGGATAATGTATTGTATAATAAATGGGGTAGAGAAGACTTTAAACTCATGTTTCTCATAACCAACAGCTAAAATTGCCAAAAGAGGGGATCTCATAGTAATACCTTGCTTTTGCAAAAAATATTGACCATTGAACTGGAAATGAAGTGTGGTTATGAAACAATTTGTATTTTAAATGCATTTAAATGAATTATAAAACAAATGTACAACAAATGTGATTGTTATAATAAGTAAATATAAACAATGAAATTTAATTTATAATTCTGTAATTGAATTTAAAGCTATCTTCTAATTACTCCAAACTTAAAATCTTCCTATTTCTGCAGAAATTTATTTAGAATATATATTTATATATAATTTGTATAACATTCTTTAATTTGAAAAAATCATAAAATTTATGACAGGGTGATTCAGGCTTGCCAGGTCCACCAGGAACACCGGGTTCATGTGATGGTGGTGATTCTGTCAGTGGGGCAAAAGGAACAGTAGTTGGTCCACCAGGTTTACCAGGAATGAAAGGACAAAAGGTTGAAAAATATTTTCAATTTTAATTTTAAACTTTTATGAATTAAAAAAATGTTATGTTTCTTACTTTTTAAATATAGGGAGAACCAGGTGAAAGAGGTGATAGAGGATATGATGGTCTTCCCGGTCAAACGGTAAGTTTTTCCTAATCTGTAAAAATTATCAAGTTTAAAATATTTTTATATTATAAATCAGTGATCACAGATTTTAAAAGATTCATGAAAGTGAAGAAAGTAATCATAAATACAAAAAGATTTTTTTCTTAAAAAGCTATAAGATATACAATAGAGTCCTGATTAACTAAGACATGTTTAACCAAACTTCTGCATTTTATAAAGTGAATTATGACAGATTATTTTGTCAACATCTTTGTTGACAAAATAATCTGTCATAATTCACTTTAAACAAAGAATGTACAGATGGTTTATTTCACAAATCCTAGCTAGACAATATTCAGTATTCAAAAATGGTTGTAGAAGTTTTAAAAAGAATTTATGCTAGTGACTCTCATGACAACAAAATTTCAAAAAAACAGCAAATTTTAATAGCTGTCATTATAAAACTGTGAGATATATAATATTCTTATATTTTTTCAACTGCTTTGTACCAAACATTCCATGTTATCCAAGTTTTGATTATCTGAGATACCCTTAATACACATTAGTTTTAATAATTGGGTCTCTGTTATATATAGAAAATTAAAATAAACTGTTTAGTTCAGGAAAGTAAATATATATTTTTTAATTGGGAACTTTTTTCATCATCCTGGCAATTTTGATCACAAACAAATTGAATAATGTAGAATAAATATTTAAAACAAAAAATATTTAATGGAACTGTTGACTAAGTATCATTTAGAATAGAAATAAGAAAATTTTAAATGGTACAAAAGAATACAATTATACAAAATTTAAAGAAAAATAAAATTTAGTAATGACATATAATTTTAGAATAAGTACATTGTAAGTAACTTAGAATTCAGAAGTTATTAAGTTTTTTAAAAAACTGAACTATTAACTGTGAGTTTTAAGTATAAAAATTGGGACAATAATCTATTGCAAGGAGAAGAGAAATTGAATGATCCCTTTAGTCCAATCTTGCAAATGATCTTGCAAAAGACAGTTATACATTAAATTATTAATTGTAAAGTTGATATATCTTGTCATATTTTTCATATACCTTGCTATACATAGATAGAAAATTCCTAATCAGAAGTTTTTATATACTGATAACATTTTTGTAATAGCATTGTATACAACAGTTGCATTGTAATGTACCATTTGATCTGCCTGGAATTAAACTTAATGAACAGTGTTACATATTTTAGTGAGCTATAAATAGCAAATTTTTTTGTCCACAAACAAAAAAAACCCAAAAATGACAAATTGTTAAAAATCTCAAAAGTATCTATTAAATACTATGAAACAACTATTTACAGTTACCAGGGTTAACTAGACACAAACACAAGAGGATTCTAGTTAACATGAGATTAAGTTAGTTTGGAATAATTCACACAAAAACCAATAAGTTATAAAATGAAATCTCAGAACTATAATTAGTTGAAATCAAAAATGAAAATAGTATTTACAAAACTTTCTTAACAATTGGAAAACTTAAATTTAACTTAATATTAAATCTCCACAAAAATCAAACTCATAATCAAAGTACTTACAAAAATTCTTAGAATCTAAACCACCTAACGATCACACTGGAAACGCGAAAAGAATAATTCATTTGACCTTGCACTTGAAAGTATTACCTTGCTATCCCTTACACTTGGTAGCATATCTTGTTCTTCTTCTGACTTCTCCATCATTTTGTATGTCATGAGTGTGATATCACCTTAGTTTGTGTTGCTCTACCCCATTTACATGCTAACATTTTATTTTAATTCCTAGCAGTCTGTTTCCAACAAATGTAGTTCCACACTTTTCATAAATTTATTATTGCCAGTTTTAAAAATCAGCAACAATGTGATTAAGTGACTATTCATTAACTGTGATTGGAAATCACTTAATTGGAGATGCCATTTTAGATTGATGATGATCTCATGAGTGATTTCAGTCATTCATGTAAGCATCTTTTTGTTTTTGAATTTGGAACTGGGAGGTTTAGACGTTTTCATTATTAAATAAAATAAAATGTCCCCAAATTAAATCATAACTAAAAAAATAAATATTTGGATTTGACACCATGAAGAAAAATTGCTTTTGATATAATTTTATAAATTAAAATAAAATTATCTTAAATCATCTTATTTAAAATAATTGTTATCATAGTAAGATATAGTGTCCTTTCAAGGCAGTTAACTAAATTGCTTTATTATAAATTTGTTATTTCTTACGTGGGGAGACACAAAAAAAAAAACCGGATTTTTTGTATAAAAACCAGGGCTGTGGAGTCACGTAAAAATCTACCAACTCTGACTCCGAATCTGACTCCAACTCCGTTTCATATACATAACAAGTTGGTAAGTAAAAGGGAGTCAGAGTCGACGGATTTTTTGACGACTCCGCCTCCAGCTAAAACACCAAAACTCCACGACTCTGACTCCACAGCCCTGATAAAAAACTTTATTTATTAACTTTTTTTACAAAATTTCTTCAGTCACCTTCAATTTGCTCTCCATTAGATGCAATGCACTTGTGAAGTCTTTTTCCCCACTGTTTGAAGCATCTCTGGAACTCTTCAACCTTGATATCATCCAGTGCCCTTAGTGAAGCTGTTTTTACCACCTCCACATCATCAAAATGCTTCCATTTTAGATTTTTCTTCATTCTAGGAAACAGAAAAAAGTTGCATGGGGATAGGTCTGCTGAATATGAAGGGTGGGGAACGACAGGCCATTCCTGAGAGGCCAAATAGTGGGTCACTCGTAAGGCCGTGTGTGCGGGGGCGTTGTCATGATGAAGGAACCAGTCACCTGCTCACCAAAGTTCTGGATGTTTCCTTTGCACATCCTCTTGCAGACGTCTTAACACTTTTTTTGGCAGATTTTTTCAACTTTTCATCATTTTGAGATGTTGAAGGACGCCCAGAACTTTGCAGGCAGAACAAAATAACAGTAAGAGAAACACAACACTATGCTCAAACGTAAACCTACAAACTGACACCATTTGCACAGCTGTTTCATGAAGGTCTCTACTAACTCCATGTAACGGGAGAACTCTCTACTACGTCTATGAATGGCAGTGCGCTCTCAGTTTGGTTTTTTTTGGGCTCCCCTCATAATTTGTAAAATATATTAGTAAATAACATATGATATATGATATAATTCAAAATTTGTAAATTAAATTGATATAATTAAAATTAACTTATTAGGTAAAATTTTTTATATAATTTTATAATAGTTTTAAAAACATTTTCAGGGTCGTCCTGGTGATATAGGTATGAAAGGAGAAAAAGGGTTACCTGGTTATCCTGGAGAAAGAGTAAGTTTATTTTTGCTATTTAGAAGGTTTTATGCTTTACAGAATTTAATATTTAATTGTTTTAAATAATAATAGCATGTTTTTTAATTCACTTTTGATGTGATATTATTTAGTAATTAACTCAAAAATACACCTTAACTAATACTGGATTTAGGTGTATTGTTGATTGTACATCCAGCTTTTGCAGTAAATAAGATATGTATTTAGTTTTTATCAAAATCTTTACACTGGGATATGGATTACAATTCAAGACCACAATAACCGAAATATACCCAAATAAATATACATTCAATCTAAATATATAAAATGACTTGTCCTGACTGACTGACTGACTGACTAAGAGATTCATCATCACCCAAAGCAAACAGTTGAACTTAGAGGTGAAATTTGGTACACAGGGTACATCATGAAAACACACTAGTGATGTAACGAATATTCGGTTAGTATTTGGTATTCGGCCTATTTGGCCTATTTTTCACTATTCGGCCGAATACCGAATACCTAAAAACAGGAGTAATAAATAACAAAAACACAGTAAATTAATCATTTTGGTATTTAGATTTAATGTTATCGAGTTAGTGTTGTTTATTTATATTTATTTATAACTTGTAACATGCACAAAATAAAAAAGAAAATAATATTAGTCACATGTATTCACAATTTATAATTACAAAGATCAGCACACGTACACGTCTATCGTTGGAGAATCCTCGCACATCTGAGGGTCTGACCCTGCCTATCCTTCTTTTTAAGCGCTCGTCTTTGCTCTTCCCTTTCTCTTTCCTCTATCGCTCTAATCCATGTATGCCTGTGCATACATCATAATACGCGCTCACGATACTTTCGATTCGTCACTTTTCCGTCGTAGAGTTCCCATTTTACAATTACGTGACTCAGCCTGGTGATAACGGAGAAAAGAGACAGATAGGACGTCGATATAAGTCACAGTTATGATTTCACAGATTCGAGACAGCTTGATAGCCCGAACAGCTCCAGGCTTTCGCCCGTGCACGCTAAGTGACTTTCATTACAAGCATTTAGCTTTCTGAAGTCTATGACAACAATTGTTTGTCATTGACAGCCGCGAATTTTGTGCCAATAAGCTGCCTCGACTTGTTCGATTATGTTATCAACTCAATTTCATATTTATTTTCACATTTTCACTTCGCGGTCCTTCTCTGTTCTTTTTCAGTTATTTACATGTGTAGGTCACTTCATTGTTATCCACATTTGATATCATCATTTATCACATATTTCCATGACACTCTTGTCTGTCTGCTACAACTGCCAAGAATTAACACGATTGGCGAAGCGTAGTGACAGCGGGCCAATAGAGAGCAGGATCCTTGCCATAATGCGGTTTGCGCACCAATTTTCGTACGTGCGTTAATCAAGCCGAATAGTTTGGCCGAATATTTAGTATTCGGCCTGAGGTCGAATATACTATTCGTTACAACACTAAAACACACACTAAGAGGGATTTTTCGAAATTTCCCTGTGGGAGGAGAGGATTAAGGCTTAACCTGAAAAATGGCTTCTACTGTACTATTTTAGATGCAATTTTTTATTTTCAACTATGTTTAGTCTTCATTGAGTACTTAGGTGTATTAAATTGATAACCTTTCAGACATTGTTATAAATATTTTTATATATTTTGATTTTTTAACCAAATGTTCAAACCATTTTAAATTTGAATTTGTTATTGCATATTGGTTCAATTATAGAATGATTGTAAACGTTCCAGAAAATTGATCAAATTGAAAACAGTTTGTTTGATTCTTAGCAATTCTCATCATTCTCAGCGGCATTCAGGTGTTATATAAGAATTACTATGGTTGTTGAAATACTGAATATAAATGGGGTTTGCTTGCAAAATCTTCATGGGCAAAGTTGTGGTTAACAGCTAATTTTTAAATAAAACAGTGTAACTAGGTCCATTCTTTAATACCTTCTCTATATTTTTTGGTAGTAAAACAGTGTAGTTTAAATATACAGTGTGGACCTTGAAATTTGAGGAAACTCCTCACTTAGTTCAGAAATCATGAACTAATGCCTTTCTTGCACCAATTGATCCTCTTTGTTCACCAAATCATCAGTCATCATACACTTCCTCCCTTGACTACACTCATCATGACTCATGACATTGTCATGTCTTTGTTTGAATTTCCTGCACCATTCACGCACACATCCATAGCTCATGAGGTTCTCACCATACACATTATGCATCCTTTGACGAATTTCACCTTCATTCAGCTCTTTGGCCTGTAGAAATTGAATTACTGCTCGTACTTCACAGTTGGCGGGAGACTGGATTAGCGGCATTATGTTTATGTTTACTGCAGAGTAGCAAATGTCTAAAATAGCTTGGCACAATGCTAAGTGGTGAGGGAATATACTACTTACTAGGTGTGCACCCTGTCCCTGTCTCACATGCTTCCAATGTTTTTTCATGCATTAGTGGAGGTTTGAAAAAAAAAATAACCCTCATATTATTCACATTAAATAGTTAATACTCTTTCTGGTATTGAAGACAGTTTTTCCTAATTAGATATGTGTAAGTACTTTTATACTCACATACATAATTATAAAAGTATATTTTTTTATACATATGTATGAAAGAAAACATTTGAAATTCAAAATAACTTGGACATTATAGTTTTTAAATTATTTTATAATAATGAAATACTAAGTTTATTATATTAAAATAGTACAGTTGATATAATATTTTACTTGAATTTCTAATTACTGAGTTAAAATAAATGATAAAACTTCCACATATATATTCATATATTAACTGAATAAATGAAATTCTAGAACACTTAAAACATTTAACACCTTATAATGCTGAGAATATTTATTAAATCACAAACGTTTTCAGCCTAATGGAATAGGCCATCATCAGCGTTATAAGGTGTTAAATGTTTTATTAAGTGTTTTTAAAAGGAAGCTGGGTTTGATATTCAATTAATTAGAAATTGCAGAAATTGAAATTGTAAAGTACTATATTATTTTTCCGACTTTCCAACGATTATCGACACTACTGTGTGCCGGAAATAGCCGTTCCCTAACGGGTACTTTACGTGGATTCGCGTTAGTGTGCCAGGCCTGGACTTTAAGCGTGCACCGAATTAAATAATGACAAAGTTTGTCAATAACAAAATCAAATATTTAATTAAACTTCTATTAATAAACTCTATACAGTATTTAGTAAAAATCAAACAATAATTTATTCAATGAAATTCAACAAGAATCAATCCGACAAACTCAAATCAATCTATTTCTAACTTAATTCTATTCCCCTTTGGAATTCGACAAAATCAAAGAATTAACTTATAAACAATAATTCTTATAAATTAAAGATCCTAATCGTCACCTCAATATACTAGGAACCTATTTCCTCAAACTCTCAAGACTTTCTATAATCGTCGATCCACAAATCGAATAACTTCAAAATCCTATCGGACACCTCTCTCGCTCACTGCTACGAAGCTCACCAAAGCTCGTTGCTATCAGGAATTCACCTCGTTCGTTTTCACTTGAGTTAGAGGCTTTATAGTGTGAGGTGACGTCACAATTCTGAATGAGCTCACTCTCCTCATTTACATACTTATCTGTAACATTAAATTTTTCTTGTTTATCTGGCAGATTATTTTCCGACAATACTTCGCTAACCTTTTACATTATTCTTTTTAACAATTATCGGGATGCTTTATTATTTTAAGGTTTAGCGATTCCTAACTGGGTTGTGGGGTCTTCCCCCCCCTTTTTCTCGGTGCGGACTTACTTTTTCCGCTTGGGAAGCGCAAGTGTGCGCGAGTTTTTCTACGGCGCTTTTCTTTCGTCGGTGAGTTGGTTTTTCTTCTATTTTTAAGTTACTAAGGTGAATGGTGAGGAAACCTTCGTCTTAACTAAACATAAGCCCCAAACAAAATATAATGAAAGCAAAATAAAAGTAAAATAAAAATAAAGCTCAGACTTGGTTCCTTACAAAATATATGATTAATTATTACAAGAAACTTTGTTAATGTGAAAAACAAAAAAAATTAATAAATAATTTTTAAATTGTAGGGAAAAGAAGGTTATCCAGGACCTACAGGCCCTATTGGTTTAAAGGTAAAGAATTAATTTTGAAAACATTAATATTAGATGATAATATTTGTATCAAATGTTATCATCTAAATTTATTTTAAATTTTCTATGAATAATAATCACATATTAATAAATTGTACTTAAAGCATTGATTAAATGTTTTTAATATTTTTTACTGTCAAAAATGTTCTGTCACAAGATTATTAGTAAGAAGTTAATTTAGTAAAAACAAATTAAAATGATAGCATTAACTTTATTGCATTTTATGTTTGTCAAAATTTAAATCTAAATGTTTGAAGAAAATTTAGAATTTTAAAAATATATCAATATGCATCTGTTCTATATTCAAAATTCTTTTATACAAATAAATTTATTCTAATCATAAGTCATTGTAAATTGAATCAAAGTTTAAACAAATTTAATATGAAAAATTATTGAAGGTAACAAATAAACACTTAGGAATCTCAATTACTCTTTGAACTTCTGTATATGACAATATCAATTAACAATTTTTTGAATATGATATTTTGATCGATTCTGAATAAATATGTATACAAAGATATTTTATGATAGAAAAATATGTTCAGCACAATTATATCTGATAAATAAAGTTTAAACTAATATAGGAAAAAATACTGTTAGAGTTGAATGTTTCTGAAATACATTTTTCTAATCATATTTTCATCAAATTCCGATTATAAAAATAATTACTGATTCATTAAAATGAGGAAAGATCCAATGAGATATTTTTTCTTTGATAGTAAGTCCTAACCCAGTTAAAACAGTAAAATCAAAAACACATATACAGTAGAGCGTCGTTTATCCAAATCAATCGGGGACTGGGGTGGTTCGGATAACGAATCATGTACGAAAAATATTAATTTATCCCATGTTGAAATTTTTCTCCGTTGCGTGTCGCTTCGCGTTGAATTTTCGTCGATGTTAAGCCTAACGAAGACTAGGCTATTGTATCGTTAAAAATTATTTTTTTATTTTGTACAAACAAAATAAATATATTGAAAAATATAAAAACAATAAAAAATTATACTTCAGATGTTAATTTAGTATCAAAAACGTAAAATATTTGAGTAGTCCAAGAAATAGCCAAAGATTACAGCGCCACAGCACTAGCAAAAATTTAAATTTGCCGACTGGAATGCTTTCGGATAAACGACGTTTCAGATAACCGGCTTTCGGATAAACGATGCTCTACTGTATTATACTTTAGAAAATATTAATAATTGAATATTATATTTGAATATCTAAATATTATAACATGAATCAAATTTGTTTTAGGGAGATAGAGGTGAAGATGGTTTACCAGGTCTAGATGGGTTGACAGGTATGAAAGGTGATCCTGGGCTTGATGGAGGGCCTGGACCACGAGGCTTACCTGGGCCTCCTGGCCCACCCGGGGTAAGTATTTTAGAAATCAATTTGCTTTTTTAATTAAAAAATTTAAATTTTTATTGTTCTTGTATATTACACATCCTTTCATCAAATTTGTTCATATTGATATAGTTTGATTATATATATATATATATATATATATAAATGAGGATGTTTGTTTGTTTGCTGCACAGTCCTAGGCCATTTGATTAATTGCTACAAAACTCGGCAGTTAGGTTCACATACTTCTAACTTAGATAATGTCAGGCATCACACCCCCAAAATATCAATTGGATTTCTATAAATCAATTTCTATCTACATTCAATTTGCTGGCTTTACACATAGTGCCATCTATTGGCAAAAAAATTTAAGGAAATAAGGAACTAAATATAATTCTTACAAAAAAGGATATAATTTTAAACAATATATATTATATTCACTTAATTACTGTAACAATGATATAGTGTGAAATAGACACACTCGTTACTGCAACAGGTAGCATATAGTGCTTGTCTGCATGGAATTGAAAGTGTTACAATATATAAGTATTTAATTTTCCATATCTAACAACTCAGGATTTTTCATTTCTGAATGGTATTTTCTTAATCCTAATAACTGACCTCAAGTAGCCAAGTGGATAAAATCACTGAACACTGGTAGTTAGTTAGTCATAGGTTCAAGCATGGCCAACGGGCTGGCCACATGGAGTTTTCTGTGTTTTCACAACACCTAAATAGGGTCTAGCTTCCCATAAAAGTTTTCCTGGGATGCATCCCCTCAGCAGAATTGCTCACTCACATGTTGCATTGCCGTATAAACCAAACTAATTCTAACAAACGATTATTTATTTTGACATTATGACAATGCTAGGCTGCAATTTTTGTCACAATGTTTTCAATTCTTTTAGCAGTGTATTTTCCCTGTACATCATACTTTTCCTGTTAGCACCAGTTATCTATCTAACTCCATTCGGGGGAAAATTTTGAATTGAAGCAAGATGACTTCTAGTCCAAAGTGGAAGTCTATATATGGTTAATCTGGGCCTCCTGCCCATATGCTTTCCATATCTGGTCTCAACTTTCATCTATCTAACTTTTTCTTGAGATTAAGGAAGGACAGAGAAGCAGACAAAAGGACAGACAATCATAATTTATAGGTCTACAGTTTTTTCAAATTGCAGCCCAATAATTTTTCTATAAATCTATGAGAACATAATTCTCATGTAGTTTACACAATCTGTTGCAAAAACAAACACTTTATTATCACAAAAAAAGCAATTATTTTTGCATTTTTACAGGATATTTTTGTTTAAACAAGTCATGTGAAGTCTTTCAGACGTTAAGGTTAGCAACTTCGATCACATGCTAGGTATCACAACCTGTCCAACACAAATTAACCTTTTTTGTCTCTTATATTTCATCAATCTTTTTAATAAATTAATACAACTCTTTAGTAAATGTTTGAAAGGAGTAAATTTTTCAGTAAATAGTAAAAAGTAAAATGATAATTGAACAATAAATAAAAAGATATTAATAAATTTAATAAAATTAGTTAATGATAAAAATTATGAATGTAATTATAATTATGTAAATTATACAAGGCATGTCCGGAAAGTAAGTATCATTTCATTCTACTGCCACCACAACGGTAGTATTGCAGTTCAGCACCTGCGCACATGTGTCTCTGGTTGATTGTCAGTCCAGTGACACCATTACAGACTGGATTGTATGGTTTTTCCACGTGTTAGTGAGCATTAAAAATGTTTAAGACAATTGCTGATTCCTCCGACTGTGAAGTGCGTTCTGTAATACGGTTTTTGAACGCAAAGAATATTAAGCCAGTTGAAATTCATCATCAAATTGTAGAGATTTATGGTAAAAATGTAACGAGTGATGGAATGGTGAAAGTGGATTCGACAATTCAATGCTGGACACACCAATGTTTATGATGTAGCACGGAGTGGCTGGCCTTCTGTTGTCAATGATGGTTTGGTTGCAAAAGTGAATGAGAAAATTCTTGAAAACAGACGGTTTACAATAAGATTGCTTTGTGATGAGTTTCCAAAAATTTCAAAAACTGTTTTGCATGAGATTGTCACAAATCACTTAAATTATTGCGAATTGTGTTCCCATTGGGTTCCCAAAATGCTTACGGATGTCCACAAAACAAAGTGACTTGGAAGTGCTTTGACATTTCTTACCTGATACAGTGAAGAGGGTAATGATTTCCTAAACAAAATTGTTACCGATGATGAACTTGGGTTTGTCATGTCACTCCAGAATCAAAACTACAGTCGATGGAGTGGAGGCACTCATGGTCCCCCATAAGACACAAATTCAAAACTACATTGTCAGCACGAAAAATTATGTTCACTGTGTTCTGGGACAGACAGGGCATTCTGCTTGTTGAGTTCCTTTCCAGAGGTGAAACCATCAATGTGGAATGATACTGTGAAACATTCTGAAAACTTCACCATGCAATTCAAAACAAAAGGTGTAGAAGTCTCAGTAAAGGCATTGTATCGTTTCACGACAATGTACGTCCCCATACTGCTGGTGTCACTCAAAACCTTATTCAACAATTCGGTTGGGAGCAGTTCAATCACCCGCTGTACAACCCTGACCTCGCACCTGCAAACTACCATTTGTTCTTGAACTTGAAGCATCATTTTGGAGGGAGGTGTTTTGCCAGCGATGACGACACAACAATCGATATTCAGCAGTGGCTGTCTTCACTGGTGCATCTTTCTTTGAAAGAGGGTATAGACAAGTTGGTTTCCCGATATGACAAATGTCTGAACAATGGTGGTAACTATGTAGAAAATTAGTTTCCAACATGCTCTTTCATGTAAAAATAAATTTTGTTTTGAAAAAAGATTTTTTATGCGAGTTTTTCCAAAATGGTGCTTACTTTCCGGACACACCTCGTATAATAATAAAATAAAATTATCCTATAATAATAAAATTTAATATATAAAAAAGTTTATATTTTTTGTGATAGAATATTAAGCTTAGAATATTTTATTACAATAAACTTTCTGCAACATTTAATCAAATAATAAATGAAAATATTTTTTGATGACTAATAAATATAAACAACTATTAAGAGCCTGTACACACTAGGCGTTTTTCAACGTGCGTTTAACGCGCGTTTTAAAGAACCAAGAGTTCTATGTAGCCATACACACTCAAACGCGCGCTTATAGATTTTTGTTAAAACATGCGTTTTGTGGGTGTTAGCCGAGCGCTTTGAGATATATGTGCTGCCATGTTACCATACATGCAATCGCGCGTTTTCCCGGCGCTTTACGGGCGCTTCTAGATTTACACCGCCATTTTGCTGTATATTCGATTGCGCGCTTTTGGATAATATCTACTTTTATAATATGGAGTAAGTCGTCAAATGATTTTATAGATATTTTAAAAGAATTAAAAAACTTGAATTTATTTTGTCTTAGTTTTGGATACAACGTCGCAAACATTTCATGCGTCAGTCTATCTCGTAATATTGGGTGCACCCAAAATTCTCTTTGCCTCTGCCGTCGTCTTTTATAGCGACGATAGAGGAGCCACA